TACTTAGCTAGGCTGGTCCTTGGAATATAGACCATTAATTGTCAGAGCTAGTACTTTGATATGATACAGTCTTCAAGAACCCAGGGTCACCTCCACTCCACAGTGAGGCATTGGAGTAAAACTTTGTGGAGGAGCTTTAGGAGATAAAGCAATAAACTCTTGACTAGGATTGGAATGCATTTTATCATGGGTAAGAAGAATGTATTTGGCTGTAGACTTACTGATTGATCAAGTGGCTTGAAATAGAAAATGGAAGAGAGAAAAATGACCAGATACAATTTTAAACCCAGATCTGATAGAGGACCTCAAAGAAGGATCAGAGGTCAGATGAGATAATCGGGGATGCAAACAAGATGTCAAAAACTGGAAACAATCTGAGACCTAAAGCTAGAAGAACTGGATAAAAGATATGATAAGCTTGAGAGGAATGGGGAAGATAGAGAGGATGTTCTGCAGCCTCAAGTATCATTCTCTGGCCTTCTTTTAACAAAGTTTTAGCAGGCTAACCATGCTACATTGAGCATGCTTACAAGGACTAGTTTGAAAGCATGAGAACCAGATCAGGATGATTCTGGGGCCCGCAGGTAGTTCGCTTTTCTGCCCTAGGCTTTATACTAGAAGGCAAGGTAATATACTGAGTCATCTCAGTTCAGAAAGATATGAATTCAGATTACACCTCTGACGTTTACTAGTTGTGTGGATCATGGGCAAGTGACAACCTCACACAACCTCAGTTTCCTCATCTTTGAAATGGTACTGTTTTTACTTGCTTCGAATGAGATAATGTACGCAAAGCATTTTGCAAACCTAAATACTCTTTAAAAACACCTGCAATTATGATAGTTTCCACTGATACTTTTGAGATTACCCTTGCACAAATCGCCAGAAACTGGTAGCAGTCAGTGGACTTGGTGAATCTCTTGGGCACTCTCAAACTCAAGCCATATGGAAATTTTACTTCTCAACTGTACATGTGAGGTGTGCATATGTGAATGCCTCTGTATCTCTTCATAATGGAGTCACCGGCTACTTGACACACCTCTTTTTTTTTTCTTTGTAGGCGATCGAGATTAAGTGACTTGCCCAGGGTCACACAGCTAGTAAATGTCTAAGGCCAGATTTGAACTCAGGTTCTCCTGACTCAGGGCCAGGGATCTATCCACTGCACCACCTAGCTGCCCCTAGACACACCCCTTAAATATTCTGGCAATCATTAAATTGTAAGCTCCTAGAGGGCAGGAATTATCTTTTGCCTCTTTTTGTATCCTCATGCTTAGCACAGTGCCTGGGACATAGTAGGTGCTTAATGTTTATTGACCGATTTAATTGGTTGGCACATTTGAACTGGGCCGTATTGTTTTATAGGCATAGGATGCTGGCTCTTTCTCAGATTATATAATCACCTCCCCCAGAAAGAACCTCCCATCACTTATGTAACTCCTTCCCTTTCTCCTCTGTGTCACATTCTTCCACTCATTGGCCTCTTGAACCTTGTCCTAAATCCCCTCTGACTTCTGAGAATCTTTAGCTTCCTGACTCCCTTCTTCAATAATTTATTCTCCCCTGTCAAGGCACTCTTCATCCTCTTTAATGAACCTGACTCTAGGGAGACATTCCTCTGGCTCACCCTCCTCTCTTGACCTTCTCCTTCAGCGAGGAAGCCAGCTTGCCTCTAACGCAGCCAGCTGCTGATTTCCTCCGGCAGAAAGACAAAAATAGCACAATCCCCACAGGACGCTGGGCCCTCCTAGTCTTCATGCCTCCTGATATAGAAAGGCCTAGGGCTAACGTCTTTAGGGGCTTTGAGTGGGCCACTACTCGGAGCTGCTGGCTCCTGAGAGGATGGACATCTATGGCTCCATATTTTTTACGTATCCAGAAGGTCTCTTCATTTTTCATACCGTTTCATCCTATCTCAGACTAAACTGGCCAGACTAAACTCTACTATGTCCCTCCTTTGTGGCCTCTCCCCGCCTCCCACTCCCTTCTCTGATCCCTTTTGTTGTGTGTGTTTTCTCCCATTAATGCATTGATAGAGCCCAGACCTGGAGTCAGGAAGACCTGAGTTCAAATGTGGCCTTACCAGCAGTAAGATCCTGGCAAGTCACTGAAGCATCTTTTGCCTCAGTTTCCTCATCTGTAAAATGGAGATAATAATAGCACCTACCTTCCCGGGTTGTTGTCAGCATCAAATAAGATAATAATTGTAAAGCGTTTAACACAGTGCCTGGCCCATAGTAAATGTTAACCATGATGATGATGATGATGGTGATAATCCTTTCGGACAGGAACTGTTTTTGTTTCTGCTTGTATCTGTACATAGTAAGCACTTAATAAATACTCATTGACTGACTTACATAAGTATCATGCACTTACTGTCTACTAAATTAGTGCCTTGGTAGGTACGAGGATGTAAAGGTACAGGTAGGTGAATGTGGTTTCAATGTCAAGGCCAAATGTAGTCCCTATAGATCCCTGGATGTGGGAATTCAGAACATCGGTATCATGGCATTATGAGCTAGAAGAGATTTTAGAAGTAACCTCACCCAAGACCATTGTACAGAGAAGAAAACAGAGGAACAAAGAGATAAAATCATTGTGTCATTAGTGAGGGGCAGAGCCATGATATAAACCCAAGCCTTCTGATGTCAAATTACCTTACTTATCTGCCATAGTACACTGATTTATAATCAGCTCTCTTTCTCTGGAGATCTTCCAATGTTTTCTAGTTTTTTTCTTGTTTGTTTCTTTATTTGGCCTGGATAGAAAACCTCCAAAGTCCCAATTGCCTAACACATATCTAGTAATATTTTTTAAAATAAGGACAGTATTGTGCTTTGTAATTCTTAGCCCCAAGACTCAACATTATCATTTATTCACGACAACCAGACAGCCTCACATACTCAGTATGTCACTTGAACGTAGATTTAGAGCTGGGAGAAAAAAAAGCCACAGAGGTTATCTAGTTAAACCTCCTCATTTCATAAATAAGGAAACTGAGATCCACAGAGGTGACCCTCTAAGGTTCCTCTTTATACAAGGAAGTGGCCAAGGCGGGTGAATCCTACCCACTTGAATCCCACAAGGTCCTCTGATACCAAATCCCATCTTCTTTCGACTGTACCACTAAATCCAAAACACTTTACCCAACCAGTACACCATGTTGTCGTGTTGATATGTTCTTCTTCTTTTTTTTATAATTGTTAAAACCATTAAAACTGTCACCATAGAAGTCACCAAATGATCATATCTCTATATTGCAGATCAATGCAGAAGCAAGGCATTAAATATCTAGTGATGAGCTCTAATCCCTCTGGTCCAATCCAGTGGCATTAGTTAAGAGCCTCCTATGCGCACAATGAGTAGCTTAACAGTACAGTGGATAGAGTGCAGGGTCTGAAGTTAGGAAGACATCTCCCGGAGTTCAAATCTGGCCTCAGACACTTACTAGCTATGTGACTCTGGGAAATCACTTAGCCCTGTTTGCCTCAGTTTCCTTACCTGTAAAATGAAGGAAATGGCAAACCACTCCAGTATCTTTGCCAAGAAAACCCCCAGATAGGGTCATGAAGAGTTGGACACAACTGAAAAATGACTTAACAAAAACAATATGGGCACAAAGGAATCAGGAAGAGCTAGACAGACAGAATAAATAAGTTAGTTCAGGGATTTTTTATGGAAAATAGGTTCATTGTAGAAAGTTGAAAAGGTCTAGGATTATCTTCACTAGATCTAAGGCACCTGGTTTAGAAGGGATTTCTTACACTCCCAATACCTGGAAGCAAATACATTGAAGAATGATTGAGATAAGGATATAACAAGAGTTGCCTTCAAAGACAAAAAGGAAGTGGAGTATAGTAGAGGACCTGGGTAGCATCCAGTTCTCCCCTACCTCAGCAGAGGACAAAGGAGTTCAAATTTACAGACAGGAAATAGGCATTAAAAGAGTCCTCTCAATGAGAAATGGTGAACTAGGTCAGCCAAAGAGTCTGTGGAGCCTCCTTTTATAGAGAGCTTCAGGAATGAAACACCAGTTTTGGATAAAGACAGCTCAAATACTGGCTTCAGAAAAAGAAAGCTCAAAACTCTCTAGAAGCAGAGGAATTCAGAGACTCAGTGATGAAAAAAGAAAAGTAGGACTATGGGGCAAGTCATTGTACCTGTCTTTGTTACCTCATATGTAGAATATGGACCCTGGACTAATCAATAATAGATGATATTTAAGAGGCCATAACTAAACAAGGGATAGAGAAGATCAAAAAAGATATAATGAACAATTTTTGATTATATAAAATTAAAAGTTTTTGCACAAACAAAACCAATGCAGGTAAAATTAGAAGGGAAACAGGTAGATGCGGGCAAATGTTTAACAACTGGCTCTCAAAAATGGATGCATGGCAGACTTTTAAGTTGAATCTGCATCATTAATATTTTTCCCATCACATTCTCAAGTCTAGAGTACAATCAACAAAGCAGTAAATCCAGCCCTGATTTGCAGTGTTTGCCAATTTTCAAGGTGTAAATGCTCATACTGAAAACTCCATAATTGGTTCTTGTGAGCCAGTTCAAGCACGGAAACAGGGGTAGGGGAGGAATCTTTGCAGCAAATTTTTTCTGATAAAAGTCTCATATCTAAGACATATAACAAATAGATTCAAATTAATAGTACAAAAGCCATTTATTCCCCAACTGGTAAATAGACAAAGCATATGAAGAGCTTTCAAAAGAAGAAACACAAGCTATCAACAAGTACAAGCAAAAAATGCTCTAATCACTAATAATTAGAGAAATGCAAATTAATGCAGTTCTGAAGTTCCACTTCAGACCCATCAGAGGCAGCCAGGTTGTGCAATGGAGAGAGCATTAAACTTAGAGTCAGGAATAAAAAGGAGTTTGTATCCAGCCTGAGACACTTACCAGGGCCTGACTCTGGACAAATCACTCAACCTTTCTTTTTCAATGTCCTTATCTGTAAAAAAGGAGATAATAATAATACCTACCTTCATTGGTTGTTGTGAAGGTCAAATAAGATTGTGTGTGTAAAGCATTTTGTAATAAATGTTAGCTATATTACCAGATTAGTAAAAATAAAAATGATAATAAAAGAAAAATGCCAAGTGTTGAGTCTGTGGGAAAACAGGTACACAATGAACTGTTGGTAGAGCTGTGAACCAGTCCAACTCTTCTGGAAAGCAATTTGAAACTAGGTCCCCCAAAATCAATAAGCTGCTACCCAGAGATACCACTGCTGGGTATACACTCCAAAGACATCAAAGAAAGAGGAAAAGGAACCATAGGTTAAAAATATTTATAGCAGCTCTTTTTGTAGTAGCAAAGAACTGGAAACTAAGGGGGTTCCCGTTTTGAGGAGGAAATGGCTGAACAAGTTATGGTCTATGAGCGGAATGGAATGTTATTGTACTACAAGAAGTTATGAAATAAATGGTGTTAGAGAATGAACGCAGGCTTCCGAGAAGACCTGTATGAACTAATGATACAGAGAGAAATGAGCAAAAGCAGAATTTATACAATAACAGTATTATAAAGAAAAACCACTTTGAAAAATTTGAGAGTTCTTATCCACTCATTTCACTCTTATCCATTCAACATGACAACTCTGTTTCTAGAGAATTGATGATAAATTTTGGGACCTACCTCTTAAGGAAGAAGTGATGAACTGAAGATGCAGAATGCGACATACATTTGGGGAGCATAGTCAATGTGGGAATTTTTTTTTTATTATGTATATTTTTCACTAGAGAAAGAAATGCAAACCATTCCAGTATCTTTGCCAAGAAAATCCCATGGACAGCATTGGTGTGATAAGGTTCAAGTGGTCACAAAGAATCAGACAGCATTGACTGACTCAACAATAACAACAACAATGTATATTTGTAACAAGAGTTTCATTGTTTTGGTTTTCCAAAAGGCAGTATGGGAGGTGGGAGAATAGGGTAAATAAGAAGCCTTCCCACCCCCACCCTCCCTACACACACACACACAACACACACACACACACACACACCACACACACACACACACACACACACACATACACGAAAGGAGGGTTGGTTTTTGTTTTTTGTTTTTTTAATAGAGAAAAAAGAATAGAAGGAAGGTCAGAGAAGTGGCCACCTTTGAAAGCTACAGTTTGATCTTATCACACACTTTAAAAGAAAAGCAAATTATACATAATAGAGACCTGAAGCTTCATATGCAAACTTTTTCTGCCCTTTGTACAAAGGCCCATCCTATTTGGTATTTAAATTCAAAATAAAATATAACCCATGTTTCAAGCCTGAGGCATTTGTAAAATACTTCATGACTCCATGAGGAGTGGAAATGGGGCAGGAGTTTTGGAGAAGAGATTTTCTTTTTTATTACTGCTTGGGAGGAGAGCAAACATGGTCCCAAGCCTTCTTTAAAGACAGACCTATGCAAAGAAGAGCACAGATTTTGGAAGACAGCTGTGTAAGGGAAAGCAGACTTCTCAACATGTCCTTGATTTCCAGCTCCCCTTCGGTGACATTGGGGCCTCTCTGAGCTGAGATAATCTTGATTCCAAAGTGGGAGAGTTCATTTACTCTATGTATATCCTAATCTGTATCATTTCTCTGACTTCTGTTTGCTATCTGCTTGGATAAATGGGTTTAGTCACTATTTGTGATAATCTTGTGTAATTAGCATCTGGTGGGAAAGAGTCAAGCAGTTAGATATAAGCTTTCTCTTTAAAAGGTAAGGACTAGAAAGAAAAAATAATAATACAGTAATCATTCCCCTATACTAGCAATTAAAGGGACAGGGAGATATAATTCTAGTATGGTACCCTTCTTCCTCAGAGTACAAGTGATCAGCCACTGCCGACCATTGTCTCTTCTCTCTCTCACATCCAGGCAGGAATCAAAGTCTCCAGGGGAGAGAACTGGACAGGATTCTTTGTCTCTCTGTGAGCCACATTTAGATAACCCAGGTGAATGTGTGGGTATGGGTGTTTGACTTTGCTTCACAGGCAACAAAAACACCCAGTCTATAGTGAGAACCCCTCCACAGGAATGTGCCAATAATTTCTAATCAATTATTCTACAAGAAATTAATTATTTTATTTTTTAAAGCATTGGATTTTTTTTTCCCCAGTGGCTCTGAGGTTTAGGCACATTAATACTATGTGCCATAGTAGGTGTCTAATAAATACATATTCCCTTTCCTCTCCCCTCTGAAGTCAAATCCTTGTGGCTTCTTCTTTGTCTACCATTCCTTACTTAGCCTTTTTAATTTGAATTGGTGTTGCCTCTGGCTATATATTGAGTTTGTGGAAAACTTCTTTGACTTTGAAGAATGATATTTTCCATAATCATCTCTCATTTTATCTTCCTATTCAAGAAAACATATTTTGGGGCATTTTTTTTCCTTTTCACAGTAATTTCTTTTTCTTTTGAAGCACAGATAATTTTGTTTCTTCCTAGTTGTAGTCTAGAATTTTTTTCATATGTACTTATGGATTTTTTTAAAATTTTTACTTTATTTTATGGGGTTATAATGGGCTTGTCCATTCCTGCCTGATGATTGCTGAATTTATAGCTACGCTGAATCCCTTAAAAGTTTTAATGTTACTATGTGCATAATTTATTGTTATATGTAGATACATGAAAAAAACATTGGTTCTGTTTCCAAGATCTGAATTTCAGTTACTGTGTTGCATAAGCAACAAATATTAATTCAATTGAGCATTGTTGCTGTAATGCTGCATATTTATTGTTTGCATCAATATTTTTGTATTAATGTGAGCACACAAGGAGCAATCTCTTAAAAAGACAAGTGGTGAAACAGCTGAGTGCCTGCTCCTATTTGCATTTGAAATAGAGAGTGGGGGCAGCTAGGTGGCACAATGGATAAGAGCACCGGCCCTAGAGTCAGGAGGACCGGAGTTCAAATCTTGCCTCAAACACATAACACTAGCTGTGTGACCCTGGGCAAGACACTTAATCCCCATTGCCTAGCCAAAAAAAAAAAAAAAGAAAGAAAGAAAGAAAGAAAAGAAAAAGAGAGTGGTCTTATAACAGGGAGAATAAAGCTACATCTTAAGGATGAGGACATTTTAAGGATAATGGTCAGAGAAGCAAAAGTCTTGGAAGAGAGTACAAGGAAGAATACTAATATTAAGGCAAATAAAACCATTCAAAAAGGTTTCCCCCCAATCCTACTGGAGAATTGCAAAGGGAAGAAAGGGAAGGGACCTATTATGTGCCAGTGGTTTGATCCTCACAACAACCCTAGGAGGTAGGTGCTACTATTTTTTTTTTTACAGTTAAGAAAACTGAGGCAGGCAAAGGCTAAGTGATTTGCCTGGTGTCACATAACTACTAAAGTATCTGAGACAGAATTTGAACTCAGGTGTTCTTCAGCACAAGCCTAGCTCTCTGTCAGTGGCATTACTTAGTATGTGAGAAACTGACAATAGGGAGTTGTTCTTGGGAATTTCATGCTAGTCCACACTTTGAGGGAGAAGAATTGCTGTAAAATGTAGGAGCGCCTCTAATCAGAGGAGTTATTTTTACATAGAAGCAGAATATCACAATGAAATCCAGAAACATGGCATAGCAGATAGAATATTGGGCTTAGAATCAGGAAGACCTGAGTTCAAATCCAGCTGCACACATTTACTAGCTACGTGGCCCTGGGCAAGTCACTTTATGGTTGTCTATCTCAGTTTCCTCAGCAAAAAAAATGGAGATAATAATAGCACCCATTTCATAGGGCTGCTGAGAGGATCAAATGAGATAATGTTTGTAAAGTACTTAGTGACTGGCACATAGCAGGCACTTAGGGGGAGCTAGGTGGTGCAGTGGATAGAGCACCAGAGTCAGGAAGACACATCTTCCTGAGTTCAAATCTGGCCTTAGACATTTACTAGTGTGACTTTGGACAAGTCACTTAGCCCTGTTTGCCTCAGTTTCCTCATCTGTAAAATATTGCTGGAGAAGGAAATGACAAACCACTCCAGTATCTTTGCCAAGAAAACCCCAAATGGGGTCATGAAGAGTCGGACATGACTAAAAAGACCGAGATACAAGAGGCACTTAATAAATTTCCTTCCCCATTTCATCTTTGAGTAAGGCTGAGGCCCTTTTGTGGAGAGATCCCAGCGGTCAGTGGCATTTTCTCTGGACATAGGCCACATCCCCCAAGAGAACAATATACAGGAAGGCTGGGACAGACAACAGTGGTCCCAAGGCACTAGAAGGCCCCCAGAGCTACACAAACTGATTACATTGGCATAGTGGGGGGGTGATACCCTCACTAGCTATGAATAACCTCTTTGATGCATGACGGGAAGCCATTTGGGATGAATGTATACAAATTTTAGCCGAGCTCTTAATAGGAGCAGATCACAAGACGCCTGTACTAATTTTGTCTCTAATACTGTGTGGCAAAAAGAAGAGGGAGAAAGCCCTTTGAGTTCCTTCTCAGAAGGGAATGATGTTTGCAGACACTAATGCAAAGGTCATAGCAGAAAGAGCAGGTCAAAGTGTATTGTAGAGACTGAGGCAAGGCTTCATCCTCTGACATCTGATGTCATCTTTTTTTCGTTTTGGGGGTTTGGGGTTTTTTTTTAATCTCTTCAGGATACTGACCTAGTAGTGGTATTGCTGGGTCAAAGGGTATGCATAGCTTGATAGCCCTTTGGGCATGGGTCCAAACTGCTCTCCAGAATGGTGGGATCTTTTCCTCAACAACGTGAGGAGAAGGGCATAAGCACTAACAATTAAGATTAGAAAAGGATGCATGAGCTGAGTTTTGAGGGAAGCTTCTAAGAGGCAGAGGTGAGGAGGAAGTGCATTCTGGGTAGGGAGGAAAGAAGTGGGAGATCCAAATGCCTGGTACAGGAGACAGGCCAGTTTGATTGAAATATAGAGCACATGAAGGTAGATAATGTTCAATAATCCTGGAAAAGTAGGATGAAAATTTGGAACTATCTCCCAAAAGCTATTAAACTGTGCATACTCTTTACCCCAGCAATACCACTATGG